TGATATTAGAAAACTGAATAGAAATTAACAAATTCTGTACTTCAACACCTGAAATATTTTCTAGAGGGAGCAGTAATTATAGCTTGTAATCTCTACATTGTGCCAGATACTATAAGCTTAATGAAAACAGTGACTCTGCTTTGTTCTTTAAGTATTGCCAATACACAAATGCCTCATCACTGGTAGATCCAAGACGCAAAACCAGGTCTGTGAGGAGCAAGTAGAAGACTCTCCAAAACTTTTCAAGGCAACAAAATACAACTTGAAAAATTTGACATCTCTACATAAGATAATTTATCCTTTTTATTTTTTTTATTATTTTTTTTTAATTTATCCTTTTTATACAGGATTTTGAATAAGATGGCCATTCAGGGGCACCTGGGTGGCTCAGTGGTTGAGCAGCTGCCTTTGGCTCAGGGTGTGATCCCGGGGTCCTGGGATCAAGTTCTGCATCAGGCTCCCCACAGGGAGCCTGTTTCTCCCTCCGCCTGTGTCTCTGCCTCTCTCTCTATGTCTCTCATGCATAAATAGATAAAATATTAAAAAAAGATGAACATTCAGAAGAAGTTAAATTAGAATTTTTACATTATAAGATTGCTTTGTAATATAGATATTTTCTGAAGTATGATTTTAAAAATAATTTAATGCATTTGTCCCCAGCATCGTTTTTAAAATCATAAAGAATGGGTTCAAATTACAGTTCTATCTACTAATTATGTGATTGTGCAACTGATTCAACTCTTTGAACCTCAATATACTACACTGCAAAATAAATGAAAGATTTGTGCTACCTAACTTGTTAAAAGAATTCAATTTTGTAAACTATATACAGCTGATAAATTATAAATGCATATGTAAATCATTATAATTACCAAGTAATTATTGACTAATTAGTAAACAACTGTTAGCTACTCTGCTTAGTAATTTATATACAATATTTCATTTAATATTAACAATTGTCTTAATAATATTATCAGAATTCTGGAAAAATCCTGTGAAGGAGATACTCTTACTATTTTCATTTAACAGATAAGCAAAACAAGGATTAGAGATCCATGTATTTGCTGAAAGTTACCACGTAGTTATGGAGTACTTAATCGCATACTCATAAATTACGGACTATGTAGACTTTACTCAGTTTTACTTTATTGCTTGTACTAATCTATAATAGGTTTGGTACTAGTTAAATTTTTATTTGATATTCTCAAAGCTGCAGAAAAGTTTAAAGAACAAATACACATACCATTGACCTTGTCAATTTACCCTCTGCAATTCTGAGTAGACTATAATGAAAACTATTATATAGTGTATTGAATTTAATTGAATTTAATAACAGACTTGGGTTACATGGAAAGGCATTCCATTTACTACCTCTGAGAGAACATCTCGACTAGGCCCTATGATTTCTAAGGAATCTGACCAGCCTCTATTATTTAGATGCATGGCTTCCTAAATTAATCACATTTTGTAACTGTGGAGAATTATCACATCTCCCCAGCTCATGCCGTAACAATCCTCTTTACAGTCATTGAAGACTGTGCCCACTGAATCAAAGTAGGTGAACTTCTGGTATTTATGTTTAATTGACACAATTTCTACAAGGATAAGTTTAAAACATTGTGGTGGTCTTAAAATAATGGTATTCTTAAAGACTATGAGAAATTCCACATGAAGAAATTCTAAGAGTGTCATCATAATAGAAATTGAGTTTTCAGGAAGTCATAGATACAGGTATACCTTGTTTAAAGGAAGTAAGACCACAGGAGTCATAAGGAAAAGAACATGGTGTAAATGAGATTGTAATTTATCCTTACATTACCAAACAGTAGCACTGCAATCCCATAACTGTCAAATTGAAAACTATTCCTCCTCACTGGATAATCTATGAAGAGTCTGCAAAACACTTGGAAAATGTACAATGACCCAGAAATGCATGTGCTTCAGTGATTGTGGAAAATAATTTAAGGGATTATGGCATATCTCATGCTAAAAAGTCTCTCCAGAAAAGCCCAGAGTCTACAATTCTTAGGAAAGAAGACATATCTTGGTTCTTACTTCTAAGTTTTTGAATATGTAATTCAAAACGAAATCTAAAAATGGTAGCGTTAGTGGTACTCACCTTTATATATCTTAAATTCAAATACACACACACAAAAACAAACCAAAATTGAAAATATATTATCTAAGTATTTTAATGTTAAATTCTATAAATCTAAAATATAAGCTTGAAATAATACAGAGATGAGGGGGAAAAAGGGATAGAAAGAGAATTATTTGAAGCTAGGCAGTTTTGGGGGAAAGGCTACTAAATAATGCTCCACATCTGAACAAATAGATCATTATAGTCTTATACTTTTCAGTACACTTATTTATGCTTACCCATAATGAAATAAAATAAGGTACTTTAAGTTGCCAATTTCAGTCAAACTTTAAAACAAAGCAAAAACTTTGTTAAAATTAGGAATCCATTTCAAGTAGCTTTTCCTTTGGGAAACATAGATTGCACACGAAAATTTAAATTTCAGTGGGAGAGCAGCTCTAAGATGAATATTCTTGCAATAATTCCTAAAACCAAATCAAAAGGCTGATTTTTTTTCCTTAGAATTTTATGTGGAGAACCCATTTATGCAGTAAACAATTTTTTAACCAGAATACGTTATTTAATAGGAACATGCACATGCCAAATCAGCATACTATATCTCAAACTCAATTTTTAGGTATGTCTATAAGCTTTGTTCCATTTTTTTGTTAAAGTTTATTGAGGTGCGTTACAAATTTTAAGGTAACATATTTTAAACTAAATTTTGTAAATGTTTTCTAATGCAATTGGAGTTGTATTTCAAGGCTTTTTGAAAATAAAAGGTTTTAAAGTGAATTACAAAATGTATCACAGTCTATTACATACATCTTTTGTCTAATTATCAAGAGTATACTATTTCCTGATATTTTTACCCTAAGTCTCATTTCATTAGTATGATAGCTTAAAACATGATTCATTAATGAGAAAATTTTGATGATGCATATCTTTATACTCTTGTAGTATTTTATTATCATGGTAATATTAATTTAGATACTACCCAAAACTTATAATAGTCCAACATTAAGAACTGGAGGTCTTTTCATCACTTCTAATTATGCACTGAGTCTTTTAATTCCAGATATTAAACATAAAAAGGCTTCATTTTATTCATAAACTTATCTAGAAAAATGATATACAGTTTGGTTCATGGAAAATGTGCGGGAATGCAAATAACTTTTCCTTTACCTCTCATGTGCCCTCTAAGAACATATATTCATACTTCATGCCAGTCTTTTGTGTAAGTATAAGTACTTCTTCCTCTTATATGTGAAAATGTTTCATCAGCAAGTAATTTCTTTCTGCAGAACCTTTTTCCTACAGTGATGTGAGGAGGATGGACTTGGGAGCCAGACTGACCAGATACGACTCATGGGACTATCACTTCCTGACTGTGTGCCATTTGGAAATGTATTTACCCCTTTTTACATCAGTTATTCGTCTGTAAAATGGAGAAAATAATAGCCCTAGCTACTAAAGTTGTTTTGAGGGTTACATGAATCAATATAAGTCAATTCAGAATCATGCCTATCATAAAAGAAGCGTTGTATATCAGGTGTCATTATTTTTTAAAGAAATTATTTATTTATTTGAGAGAGAGAGAGAGTGGGCGAGCAGGGGGAGGGAGCAGAGGGAGAGGGAAATACAAGCAAACTCCCTGCTGAGCATGGAGCCCTATGCAGGGTTGATCCCATGACTCATGAGACCATGACCTGAGCCAAAATCACGTGTTAGACGCTTATATGACTGAGCCACCCAGGTACCCCCATTAGGTATTATTATTAAGAATGTTATTTGAGATGGGCAGCCCCGATGGCGCAGTGGTTTAACGCTGCCTGCAGCCTGGGGTGTGATCCTGGGGACCTGGGATCGAGTCCCACATCGGGCTTCCTGCATGGAGCCTGCTTCTCCCTTTGCCTGTGTCTCTGCCTCTCTCTCTCTCTCTCTCTCTCTGAATAAATAAATTTAAAAAAAGAATGTTATTTGAGAAATATTTATTGAGAGATTACTATGTGCTGGGAACTCTTCATTGTGCAGAGACTATCTTGTTTCCTAAGGCTGATCTGAAATGCCATTATTAATGAAGAACCAGTCGCTTTCCTAGTAACTTAAATTTCCTGATAAATACTGTCTCAGAAGATTTACAGTCAAGAGAGTAAAATGATTATACAACACTGTGATAAGTATTCTGATAGAAATATGCATAGGGCACCCTCAAAAGCACAAAGGCACAATACAATGCAGAACACTTTAGGTCAGATAAGCTGAAATGTGACCATCTATGGAAGAGGTAATATGTGTACTGACTGGCATAGGCTAAAAGGATATTTCTTGAAAAGTGTGAGCAACCTTAAAGCACATATGTCAAAAGCAATTTTCCCATAAGAAGTAATGAGAAAAGATTACATTGCCTCATTTCTAGGACACCAGCTACAGTTATAGGTTAATTGCTGATTCTGGTACTGATTAAAAGAGTAGCAGAGGTCTCTTTTACCAGCCCCTGAGGGCAAAAATCGCAAATGCTACAAGGTCCCCTTAGGAAAGTCTGGTCAATAAAACAGCTTCTACTCTGCCCTGTGGAATAGCACACAGCAAAGGCTTTATATGACTTATTAGGAGTAGAGATTCCTATTGACCTTGATTACTAAAAGCCTGCTCTCCTGATATAATTCAGAGCCAAACTGAATGGTTAAAGAAAAAAAAAAAACAAAACAAAACATACATTCAAAGCAAAACCACATAGGTAAAAAAATGAAGCAGCAATAAGCAACCACTTACCAAGACTAACTTAAGATGAAGAATACAGCACTGGCGAATAGTGGTGTATGTATGTTAAAGAGTCAGATAAAAGCTGTGCAAACATTTCAACAAAACTAAGTTTCTACCAAGAAAGTTCAAAAATAGTTCATTGCCTTCTTTTTACCTGGTTTGGAGGAATCTAGCAGCATGGAAGCAAACAGCTCCAAAGGAAAGCCAGGAAACCTATTAAAAAAAAAAAAGAATAAGACTTAGAAGAAAAACTTTACAAAGTAAAAATAAAAGCTCATAAACATAATAGCTATCAGGTTTTTAAAAACATATTTGAAGAAAATATACTAACGCATATTTGACATATTACTCTCTTTAATGAAACAATATGTACCTCAAAAAAAACATGTACCTCAACGTTCACTTTATTTAAGAAGTATATAATTTTATTATATTTTACAGGGAAAAAAATCCCTTTGATCTTTATACTTGAAATTAGAGAATGAATGAGCACATAAAAACCCTCCACTTGATATAATGACTATAGGACCAAGTGCATATTTAATTGTATGATATCCCTTTTGTGGGATATCTAAATGGAACGAGCTTTATTCTAATAGGTAGGGAATATGGTTTCCAGAGTAAAAAGATATAGGAAACGTGTATGTCTCTAAGAGAAAAGCCAAAATATAGTATTTGTGGCAACCTCCTCAGAGCTGGACAGATCTGCTCACTTTAGCACTCTGGCAATTAAACAGAACCCCCTTCTGGCAGAAGCCTATTCCAATTTGGGGAATGTGTACAAGGAAAGAGGGCAGTTGCAGGAAACAATTTTTTTTTTTTTGGAAAAAAAAACAAAACACTTTAATTTTTAAGACAACTGCAAGCACCTCAAACAATGGATTATTATTACAACACTTGTTATCTTTCCACAATCTAGTTATTGCAAAGGCATATGGATAAACGTTAATGGACAAAGTCAAGAAAAACGAGGCACCTTAATGAATGTGAAAGTTTAAAAAAAAACTGACATTCAATCCACTGACTTCTAAAAGAGGCTAGAGAGACCTCCGTATGTTACATTCTAAAATGGTATTGCCTACTATGGTTTGTGTCCTGGATTCTACAAGTTTAAGGAAATGCATAAACAAAATTGTGTGCAACCTGCAAAGGGAAAACCTGACATATCTTGTCGTAACCTATACTTGACTAATTTTCAATGTTTTAGAGGAGAGTTTTAATGCCCCAGCTTAGAAACGCCTCACACCCCACCCCTCACGCAGATATGAGATGCCTAATGACAGAATATGTATTCGGTTTTGCCACAGGACCCGCTCTGTTGAGCAAATCTTCATAAATCCCTTGTGGGTGGATTATCAACTTATACAAGATAAGCACTGAAGAGTTTGATGATACTGAATGGTATGGTTTCCACTGTAAATTTGTTGATCATTCTATACAAAACTCAATTTATTTTTTTAACCTATTAACACAGAGTTATCGTGTGTTCACAAATTGCCAGACACTTAGGAACTAGTGATATCATGTTGTGGGGAGGAGCAGAAGGGTTGGGAAAGAGATGAGCTCTTCCTTTACAGAGCTGGTTTAAGCAGGAGAGTTGGAGACTGAGGAAACCATTGCACAGGCATTAAATCAATTACAACTGTATAAGTGCTAAGAAGGAGTGAAGGATTTCTGAGGTTATTTTTCCAGGCCCCCACTTAATCTGCAAAGGATTTCTTAGATTGGGATTGGGTGACGAAGCACAAAACAGTGTCAATTAGAGAAGGTAAGGGACCCCCACTTAATCTGGAAAGGATTTCTTAGATTGGGATTGGGTGACGAAGCACAAAACAGTGTCAATTAGAGAAGGTAAGGGAGGGAACTGTCCAGGCACAGGGAATATCACACACAAATCATCTGTCACAGAAACGAGTATCTGTACATCAACAATGAGTTTGCCTTCACTGTAACGTGCCATCTTCATTAGATAAAGCCCTGACTGGGAAGGGAGTGTTTCTTCTGCTTCTTCTGCCTCCACAGGTGGTTACAGGACTAACTCCCATCCAAGAAGTTTGATGAAAGTGGTGTGTGTCATTTCTATTCCCTGGTTGACCCCTGGGATGGAAGGAGCCCGGATACCTGAAATACCACATGAAGGAAAGTCACCTGCCAGCAAGAAACGCCCACATCGGGTTGTTAGATGAGTAAACAAAAAGCATCTACTCTCTTTTAGGCACCAAAATTTGGGAGTTTATTTTTACAGCTGGAGTATGCTTAATCCTACCCTAACCAAAACAGTATGGGTTGGAAAGTAAAGAAGTTAGAGTGACTGAAAGATGTAAAGTATGACTAGAGTACGGAAAGAAAAGAGAACGTGAATTGGCCCATATGCTTACATTTCAAATAACACTATGGCAAGATAAATAGCCTGAACAATATCTCACTATAATACAGCCAGAAATCCTGGAAAAAAGATATAGTAAACGTTATTTTAAATGTATAGTTAAGTCCAACCCCACCCCAAGTAAGAAAAACACCTAAGGAGAAATCAAAGAGAAAAGTGAAAGCCAGAATGGTCGGCTAAAAGCTAGTATCTCTACCAACATCAGAAATCAAATTTTACTAGAAAATATCTGTGACGAACTTCGGCCCATGTGATGGGAGTGTTGGGTGTGTGTGTGTGTGTGGATGGGTGGGTCGAATCAGACTTCTCTGTAACTCCCCTTTCCAGACCAGGAAAAAGTGACCTATCCTGGGAGAAACTCTAAAAGAAAATAAGCCAATAAGCAAACCTGGCTAAGACACTTATCTGGCTTGGCCTGTGCTGGGGTGGGAACAAGCCCGTAGGATTTACAAATACACACTTGCCCTCACATCACGGTTTTGGTCATCAGGTTTGTGCCATGCACCTTGCAAAAAAAAAAGAAAAAGAAAAGAAAAAGAAAAGAAAAGAAAGAAAGAAAAGAAAAGAAAGAAAAGAAAAGAAAGAAAGAAAAGAAAGAAAAGAAAAGAAAAGAAAAGAAAGAAAAGAAAAGAAAAGAAAAGAAAAGAAAAGAAAAAAGAAAAGAAAAGAAAAGAAAAAAGGGAGAAAACCAACCAACCACAGTTATATCAAAATAATCATGAGTTAAGGACATTTCCAAGGCATCTATATTCTAAAAAATTATCTTTCAAAATATGGCCCAAACGTGGCCCCACAGGATTCCCACAGAACAAGCCCACCAAACCTCAACTCACAGCCCAAAATTATGAAAGTCCAACAAACATGGCACCACCAGGGCCATTCTGCACGACCAAGACGGGAAATGCGAATCCCTGGGTTTCTGGGTTTCTGACAGTGGAAGGACTAGATGGAGGACAGGCCTCCCCGACCCCGGTCCCGGTCCCTCCCCTCAGGGCCCCCTCAGGCCTCCCCCCACCCGCGCTCCTGCCCCCCCCACCGGGGGCGGGGCGGGGGGGCGCGGGCGGTGCCAGAGGGGGGACCTGAGGGGGGACCGGAGTCCGGGGGGCCCGGGGGGCCCTCGGGGGCGGGGGCAAGAGAATAAGAACGGACTTCTAAGACGCTTAAACAAGTAAGAGATGGAAGCAAATACCTGCAGAATTAAAGACAATGTGAGATATCGCAAAGAGTCGAAGACTAATTCAATAGATAAACTGTGAACAAAAATCACGTAATGCTTCCTCGTGGGAGAACCCGCGGTGTGTGCGGCTGCGGCTGCGGCTGCGGCTGCGGCTGCGCTCGAGGTCCGGCCGCCTCGTGGGTGCACCTGCGGGGCCGGGACTGCGGGGGTTGGGGGGATGGTCTGAGGGGGGGACCTGAGGGGGCCCAGGAGTGCGAGGGGGGCCTGAGGGGGGAGACAGGAGCCCCGGGGGGCCCTGGGGGGGCCCAAGAGCGTGGGGGGAGGGAGACCTGAGGGGGGCCAGGAGCCACGGGGGGAGGTTTGAGGGGCCCTGGGGGTCCCAGGAGCACGGGGGGGGTGAGAGGCCTGAGGGGGCACCTGAGGAGGGGGCCAGGAGCCACGGGGGAGGTCTGAGGGGGGCCCTGGAAGGGCCAGGAGTGGGGGGGTAAAGACCTGAGGGGGCACCTGAGGGGCGCCCTGAGGGGGGGCCAGGAGCCACGGGGGAGGTCTGAGGGGGCACCTGAGGGGTCCAGGAGTGTGGGGGGGGAGGGGGGCTGAGGGGGGCCAGGAGCCCAGGGGGGAGGTCTGAGGGGGGCCCTGGAAGGGCCAGGAGTGGGGGGGAAAGACCTGAGGGGGCACCTGAGGGGCGCCCTGAGGGGGGGCCAGGAGCCACGGGGGAGGTCTGAGGGGGCACCTGAGGGGTCCAGGAGTGTGGGGGGGGAGGGGGCTGAGGGGGGCCAGGAGCCCAGGGGGGAGGTCTGAGGGGGGCCTTGGGGGGTCCAGGAGCGCGGCGGGGGGAGAGGCCTGAGGGGGCACCTGAGGGGCGCCCTGAGGGGGGGCCAGGAGCCACGGGGGAGGTCTGAGGGGGCACCTGAGGGGTCCAGGAGTGTGGGGGGGGAGGGGGGCTGAGGGGGGCCAGGAGCCCAGGGGGGAGGTCTGAGGGGGCCTTGGGAGTCCAGGAGCGCGGCGGGGGGAGAGGCCTGAGGGGCACCTGAGGGGCGCCCTGAGGGGGGGCCAGGAGCCACGGGGGAGGTCTGAGGGGGCACCTGAGGGGTCCAGGAGTGTGGGGGGGAGGGGGCTGAGGGGGCCAGGAGCCCAGGGGGGAGGTCTGAGGGGGGCCTTGGGGGGGTCCAGGAGCGCGGCGGGGGGAGAGGCCTGAGGGGGGCCTGAGGGGGGGTCAGAAGCTCGGGGGCCCTGAGGGGGGCCGTAGCCCAGGGGGGAAGCCTGAGGGGGGTCCTGAGGGGGGTCCTGAGGGGGGGCCAGAAGCCCACTGGGGCCCACTGGGGCCCCCAAGGGGCGCGGTGCTCCTCGCAGAGACCGTGGCGTTGCCTGAGGCACATGGCCCGGGGCTACACCCGGTGAAGGAGCGGCAGCGGCGCCTCGGGCCCCAGGGCGGGGAACCAGGAGATCCGCACCCCTCAGGCCGCCGGCGGCAGGAGGCTGCAGCCAGGTTCAGCCTTCAGAGCAGCGCGAGGGGAAGGCGGCGCAGGCGCAGCGGGTCCTCGCCGTGGGGCTCGGGGCTCAGGTCCCGCCCCGCCCCGCCCCGCCCCGCCCCGGCCCGCCGTGAGGACGCCCGCGCTGCTGCCCCACGTGGCCCGTCGCCTGCTGTGT